TTCAGTGTTAACAACAACAACAAAAACGACAAAAGGAGCGTAACACATTGATCCACAGCGTAACACGTTTGTTTGTTTTTGTATCATCATCGTCTTAAGCTGACACCGCCAACGATGTGCGGAAGCGTGTCCTCGTGACATTTCAGGGGCCTCGGGCCACCGCGGCGTATTTTCGTTCGTCCACACACACACAAGAAAGACCAAACCACAAGCTCGTTCGAGCCTTCTTATGCGACGACGAAGGGCCGCCGCCGCCGTAGCAGAAGCAGCAGTAGCCGTGACGACGCCCACCCCCACCCCCCGTGCCGCACGTCCAAGCCGAGAGTCTCTTCTCGTCGTCGAACGTCGCTCGTGAAAGTGCACGCACGCGCGACCGCCCGCCCGCCCGCCCGCTCGCTCGCCCGTCAGGTGCGCGCGAAACAAAGCACAAGAAACTCGCCCTGCAAAATGGGTTCTTAATAATTCAAAAGCCACGCCACACAAAACACACACAAGCACACAACGAACGGGTTGAACGCCGCGGCCGAACAGCTGAGCGGTGCAGCTGTCCCGTGCAGTGCGTGCGTGCACGCGCGCGTCGGAGATCCATAATCGCCACCTGCGTGCCATAAACTACAAACACGGCATCGCGAATGATGGATGGTGGGGGAATATCGAGGGGGCACTCTTTGTTCAGGCCAGCAAGGCGAGCGGCACGAACGCAGCAGCAACAACAACGACGACGATGCGGTGACAATTATCCGCCACTAATGGTGATCTTCTCGGAAAATTGCTGGGGGGGGGGGGTGGGGGGCGATCAGCGCGCCGTGAAAAACAAGGGGTGGGGGGCCTTCCTGAGCTCGTGAGAAGAGACGAGGGAAAGAGGAAAAAGAACAACAACAACAAAACGGTCGAGAAATTAGCAAATTACGCCGGTGGCTGAGTGTGGTGTGCGAAGGCTTTACGGATCTACGGGTCACTAATTTGCTGTAGGGAGGTGGGGGAGGGGGGGGGTGAATTTGAGACCTTGCGTAATCGACAGGCGAAGGCTCAGGGAACACATTCCGGGTCCCAGCGGAGGCTGTCAATTGCGGGGCTGGCGCGTTGGAAATATCATGGGGCATTATTTGTTAAACAAGGGAGAAAGTGCTCCTGGGTAATCTGCCCGTGCGCCAGGGGGAGAAGGATGGAAGAAGAGAAACGATGAGGTTGGTGGTGGCTTGGTGGGTGGGTGATGGTGGGGTGAGGAGGAAGGGAGGAGTGTGAAGGGGGGAGGTAAGGAGGCGAGTATGGGGTTAGCAAGGGAGGATGAAGGCGGGGGCCATTTGTGCCTGCAAGCGCCTGCCATCTGAAGTCAGAGTGTGGCATTTTTAATCCGTTACGCTCTGTAGTTTGTTGTTACACTAATATGCCCTTATCTTGAGAAATAACTGTACAGGCTTGACTGCGGCATAGTAAAAACCAAAGACTACGTACCACAGTACAGCGTTTTTCCTTCGTGATGTAAGTGTGGTGTGTATAATGAGAAGGAAAAAAAAATTACATTTTAAAATAAAATGAATGTAATTAATATAAAAATCATTGGTAATTATCACGTTGTTAATTATGCACCTCCTACGTACATCGTGCTCATTTTTACGCTAATTCCTTTGTCAAGCGTTTTGCTTCCTCCCACACAGCTTAAAGGACGCGACCTGGGCTTGGCTGTTTTCACTCCAACGCTGTCCTCATGACAGCACGGTCCCTTCACCTGATGAAGGCCACTTGTGTTGTGGCCGAAACGTCGTGATTTTTGTTTTTTTATTTTTTACCTACGTGACTTTACCGAATAGAACCAAAGAGTATGGATCCTTGCAGTCACGAAAGCTTCAAATCTAGAATTATCACGTTGTACTACAGCTCTGAAAACAGACAATATATAATTTATTTTCTCGAATATTAACAAATTGCATTAAGAGATATGGCCATTACAGCTCAACAACATGTGCACATGGAATATTTGCAGTGCTTTACAGTATTGTTTTTTTTGCAATGCAATACGATTTAAACATAATTCACACGTCGCAAGACGTAACATGGAACACGCAGTGCCGAAATGGTTCATAGCGCACATTGCGCACTTTGCGCGATGAACCCTGTTGTCGCGAGTCCTGACCACAATGGCGAGTGATATCTTTATTTCGGAACCAGTCCTGTCACACACCCTCCCACCCACCCTCCACAACCCCCCCCCGGCTCTCTTTGTCTCCCAAGTGGCGATGTTTACACCAGGCACTCATTTGAGGCTGAGTCGACCTAGGAGAGGCCCAGGACCAGATAATCCTCACCGGATGTTGGTCGTGAGTGGGTGTCGAACACGGGTCGCCTTATTCATAGCGCAGCTCGCTGACCGCTCCGCTGCCGCTCCCACCCTCCCCCACCGCCCGTACCTACAGCTTCACTGACCCACACTACCAGCATGGTGAAGTATAGCCAAACACCCCGACTAACGCGGCGTCGGGAGGCTTTAATTCGGTGGTGGATTGACAAAGGGTACTCTATTGTTATTAGACATGGTGATTATATCATGTAGTTACGGTGAAAATGAGCTGTCAATGTGGCACGTGGACATTTTATCTGGCAAAGTGCCCAGGCGAGTGACCAATCACCTCGATAATGAATGAATCTAAGATGTTCTTTAGTTGCATGAATGTGAGAATCTTGTTCGGTTACATTGTCTCTTTGGCAGCCAAAGCCTGGGTATAATAATGATAATAAGCATTAAAGAATCACTGAGCCGGATCATATCCATCACATTGCATTCCTCATGCTGTTTCACAGTCCTCCATAATGCATTGCACACACTGAGCTCTTTTGCTTTCTATATATACCCGATGAGCCATTCTGAATTATCCCAGACTCTCTTTTGAATTGCAAAGGTTAGCATTATAGATCCTGGATGCCACCCAAATAGGTTTGTGTGTGTGTGCGCGCGCTATAAGTTGGCATAGTACCTGGGTCTGTGTCGTTCCTTCCTGCCAACAAGCCTTCGACCCTTCACATGGCCTCAGTGCACCTAGCCTGGCACAAGTGCTGTGGTGACGTCGCCGTCGCTTAGCGGCAGACGGCCACAATTGTCGTTGCGCTTTTACGCAAAAATACCTCTGGGGCTGCACGTCTGCATGCTGGGTTTCGACACATCCGTCTGGGCTCAACATTCTACAAGGCAACACATTTGACATGCAGATAATTCCATAGTACAGTGTATGTTGACAAGGTGCCAAATCATAAGCATCACATTGGGTGATCAGTGGAAGAGTGATTACCATGCTCTGTTGTGAACCTGGCCACCCAATATTCATTTCCAGCATGGCTAAGATCAGTGGCAATTAATATCAGAACAGATCCGGCCCTCTCCCCCCTCACCCTTTACCAACCCGCACTAAGCAGCGTGGTGAAGTATTGTCAAAACCCATGACCAACATGACATGGGTTAGCCTTCATCTAATGGGGAATTGGGAATGGCTGGTCGTTATTTAATGCATAACATATTATACAGTAGATTTAATTCCATGGCGTATATCACTAGATTTTACATAACAAAAAAACAATTATACTGTAAGGAAGATTACATTACTATATTGGGTTATTGGGGTGGGGGGGGGGGTGCCCAAAAATCAATGCTTAATGTTATTGATTCATTGAATCAGGGATTCCCGATCTGTATGTCCCCCTATTGCAATTCAAAGACACGAGCCTTTATAATTCACCCATGTTCTGCTTGCCCATCAATAACGGCACGACTTGCCTTGCTTCTACATACAGTGCGCACAGCCGGGCCAAATCTGCACAACCGGGCGGTCCCACTACTCGGGAGCTGTCCACGGGGCAGTGGTGCTGAATTTAAGATTACAATTCTGACTGCTGCTGCTGCTGCAGCTGCAAAATTCTGAAATCATTTTCTCGGAATAATAAAGCTAAAGATAAAAATATATAGAGAGAGAAATTATAATCCTCGAGTGCATTTGAAGTGCTTGTGTGAGACTAACATTCAGAGGTGCCACACTGTGCAGGGTCTACGGGGCACTAATAGACGGTATTTTGCATTAGCAAAAATTGCTTTTTCCAATGCACTCTCGACAATAACCCATTCATAAAGAGATGTAAACCTTTTATTTATCATCATCTTCTCATAATCCATTTGAATTGCTGGGGTGAACTTTTGTGAGATCTGCCAAGAAGTGGCGACTATTGATAAGGGTGTGCGTGTGTTTAAATGTACAACGCTGTATATTTATTCGACAAATTACTTTGTGATGCTGCTGCATTGGCAGTGGTGCACAAGCACAGACAACAACAACAATAAAAAAAACTCAACACACTCATCAATAACCCTTGCCTTAAAAGAAGAAACAATATATAATATGCTACGTTTCGGACAATGGCGCTTTAAGTGGCCTTTTAATGTACTATGAAGGGCCATCGCCCGAAACGTCGTAGAGTATATTCGGTTCCTTTAAGACAGCGATTGCCGAATATGTTGGATGTTATATATGCTACTGTAGAATCATGTACTTGTATACACCAGATATAACAAACACGATTTTATTTCGCATCGTCGTCTCGAGGCCAAATCTTGACATTGTCCACGATGTTGAAAGAATACGGCCTCCTTACCAAGACTGCTTGCACAATCATTCATTGTACGTGTCCGCAAGCTGCGCCCCACTTATCCCAATCACACGAGGATTTCATACTCACCACGTAGTGCGAATTAAACGCGCAAGAAATACAAGGCAGAGTACAAATCAAGCATGCAACATGATCTTCATAACCCAGCCGCGTAGACACGCAACGGTATTGCGAGCAAGCGCGTGCGCGCTTGGTGGTTCATGTGTGTGTGTGTGCGTGCTGCTTTTGTATACAATATGAACGTTCGAACGGGTATTTGTGAATGTACATTCGTGTTTCAGGATTTGTGTGAATATCACTCCGTGAGTGTGCGTATGTACGTGTGTATGTATGTACGCGTGATTCCTCACCATATTCAGAGCCGGCAACGATCACCAAAAGAGCTAACGTTATAAAGGAGGCGAGCATCTTCCCGTCCGTATACTCAGCTCAGGAACAACATAGCGTGCCGCTGTCTTCGCAGACTGCACACAATCCGCCTCCTCGCTTGCTTGCCCCGCTCTTACGCGCCTGTCTCCTCTGCTGTGATGTCTCCTCGTCCACGCGCGTCTCTCTGTGTGTGTGCGTGTCTGCGTGCGTGCGTGTGCGTGGGTGCGTTTCTGTCGCTTTGATGCGCGCTCACATATCACAGGCTCAGTTTGTGCCCTACCATCACCATCCTTCCCAGCCCCCTAGCCCGCCCAAAGTGTGCTGCTCTGTGCATGTGTGCAGTCGGCATAAAGGAAACCGCAGGCGTTCTGGGTGAGAGGTAGGAGGGGAAGGGAGGGATGAGGGTGGAGAGAGAGAGAGCGAGGAGGAGGGACGGCCTGGCTGCCTTGTGTGTCTCGCGGGGAAGGGGGCACAGGGATGGGAGGCTGTTCTGGTGGTCTTACTGTGACCGCTCTTGGCTTAGGGGAATAGTGAGTCTGGATAATTTTGCACGTTAAGGAAAATACACCGAAATTAATCAGATTGGACTAGGTTAATGTTCGACAACACTCCCATCAGCACGCTGCTCAGTGCGGTTTAGTGAAGGTCGGAGGAGTGATGTAGCCACTGCACCGGGTGAGATTGCATTCCCCACAGATGATAATTGAACTCACTCAGGCAACTGGTTCGTTGTGCAATGCGGTAACCACTGCACCACCCAGAAATATAGTAATTAGTATATTTGTTGTGTAGTGAGTCGAACTGAGTCGCAAACGTTGTTCCTTTTAGAGGCAACACTTTTATTTGTAACACCATAACACAAAGGGGTAACTGCCCCTTTACCAGACTACAGCGAGTTACTGCTACGAAGGGTCGATCCCTCACTCGTGTTTCCGACCACGTGGTTGCCTCGTAGGACGCAGAGCTTCAGCTTGAGACGTAGAGCTTCCCGCTTGTAGATGTTGAGTTTCCAGCTTGTAGAATGCAGCGACCCCGGTCCCTCTTAGGGACCCGCCTTACATCCCCCTACGGTCGGGGCCACTCCGCCCTCGGCCCCGCCCGCCTTCTCGAGCATTCTCGTTCCCTCTCGATCCTTCTCAAGAGCTCTCTCCGGACACGTGATCACCCACTAGTCCCCCCACCTGGGGCCCCCTGTGTGGACATTCCGGATCACGTGTCTACGGGGTCCACCAGAGTGCCACGGCCCGGGGCAACCCAGCCCCTGGGCTGACAATCACCCCCTTTCCCTCGGGGGAGCCCCCACCACACGCTGTGCGTGGTGCCCGCACTATCCCAGTACTCGCCAAGCCCCGCTAGGGCTGGTATTACACACAGCCATCCACACGGTGCTGTCCACGATGTCGGAACATCGAACGGCACGATCCTTCCGGGACGGCACCATACAGTGACATCCCCGATGTACCTCCACCCACACCCCCCCCCCCTTCGTAGCATCCAGCCGTCCCGGCTGTCAACTCCCCCTCAACGAACAATAAGTTAAATGCAATGAGCAAAAAAAACCACAGTGTGCCTCAACAATAACAAGAACCGAAAAAAACACCCCAACCTACCTGTACAAACATTACACGATATACAAATGTACAAAACCAACAGGGAGAAAGGTGGCAACCAACGAACCCATAATAACCACTCGGTCTTAACAACGATATAAAAGAACAGCGTGAACCACGGGATCTCCCATTACCATCAGATCTCCCACCTTCATCGTGTAACAATGGACACGAGTGCAAATGGCGGCAAGGTTCAACCAATGACCGCCACAACTCAGCGAGCGCGACAAGCAACCGACAGCATGGGAGCATGTGTGCAAGGGAATCACGAAAAAACGCTATTCCAACAATATTTTAAAAAAAAACGCGTAACCCACGGGATCCCCCATTACCATCACACCTCCCACCTTCACTGTGTAACGATGCACGCGAGCGCAATGGCGGCCAGGATAAACCAATAACTGCCGCGACTCAGCGGGCGCGACGAACAACCGTCAGCGCGGGAGCGTGTGTGCAAGAGGATCACATACGAGTCTTTGAGCGGGTCCGTGACGCTGCCCCCCCACCCCCCCCTCCCCACAGGGGAGGTGGCCTCGCACCCCTGGAGGACCCGCAGGGAATGTATCAATGTTCTGCCGGACCCGGCTCCTCACGAAAAGCAGTAGGCCAGGCCGGCGGGTCCACCCCCCTCGATGCCCGCGAAACCGGCATGCGCGGCCACCCGCCTCGGGTCGCCGGACGCACTCAACACTCAGCCCCGACGATATGGAGATGAGATGAATTTTGCGCAGCGCGATGACCGGTTCAAGGCGAGAGGGACGGACAGCACAGCAACTAACCACATCCCGGGATCGTCGCGTGCAAGGCTCCGCACTCGCATTCCCGACAACGCCCCCTACCGGACTTGCCGGATCCGCATGAGCCAACCCCATACTTTCCTGAATGACCGTGGTGTCCAACCCAGCATTTTTAAACTGAACACAAGGTTCCTGGTCGTCGGACACCAACGACTGAGCTATAGCTCCGTACCTCGCAGTACCCAAATCGAGCGGCTCTCTCAAACGGAGGGGAACAGACTTTGCGCGCCGGGCGGGATTTCCCCCGTTCGGCGCGCGGACATCTGCACCGTAGAGTTAGCCGCACACAACCGGGTAGGGGAAGGCAAAAATGCCACACGGAGTCCGGATGGCAATTCAAACGGCCGCGGTCAATGCAAATTTCCAATAGCATCCTGCCAAGTAAATCGGTTCCAAGTAAACATGGACCAGTCAGGGACGTGGAAACAAAAATGTGTCCCGACAAGCTAACATCTGCGATGCGTACCTCGGCCATGAACCGACCGATGATACCCAACGAGCCGCCGTCAGCAGTGACACACAGCGCATCGACAAGGTCAAGAACCTGACACTTAGGGGGCAGAATGTAAAATATCGGGACCGTAATGATAGTTGCCGATGCACCCATGTAAATCAGCATCCTTATCTCCACACCCTCGCTAGACCCAAGCACCGTAGGCCAACCCTCGGTCGCAGCCACAACTCGATGGGCCAGCTCCGACCACTGACCTGGTCAGAGCTGACGCACCTCGTGATTCCGCGTAGGACTTTCCCCTACCGACGCGCAATCGGGCCGTGAACCAAATTGCCTAGATGGGTGAAGTGAGGCCAGGGGTCGAGTGTGGAGTGCTTCGCGACTCGCCTCAGGTCATAGAGGAGAGCAGGATGGAGATGATACCGGGAGGCATCGACGTGGGACGCGGCAGCCCAGAGCCACGTGGCCCGGCAGGCCGCACTGGTAGCAGGTAACACGGCAGCCTCTGGAACGAGAAGACGACCTCGACCGCCCCCGCTTGTCCGTCCGCCGCGTGCCACCGTAACCCCGATCGCCACCCCTCCGAGTCGACGCACCTTCCGTAAGGGGCCCCGCCGTATGCGGTGGTCCCGGCTCTGTGCGGGACACAGCGCAAGTCGCCAACGCCCCATCTCGATGCAAAAGTTGCTGGGCTCGGACGCAATTGGCGACTTTGCGGTGTGCGTCCGCCGGAGGCCCGTAGGTGGATGCCAGCAGCGGGATGGCGAAAAATGCTGCCCGCAGCGCCTCCTTCTCTGACCACCTCGCCAAACCGGCGTTCGCAAGGAACCGCCGCTTAAAGGCAACTCAGTTGCCACTGGGAGCCATGAACTCTTCGACAAAGGGAAGCTGACATTGGAGAGCCGGGCTGTCCCTCGGCGCCGACGGCGCGCCTCCAAGTTTGGCGGGCTGCCCGACTCCGTGCCAACGGTAAAATGAGGCCGATCGCACGAGCTGCGCCACCGAGTTTCCCTCCCGTCGTTAAATGGCGGTAGAGTCGCCATTCATGAGCAGTATCGCCGCACCTTCCGTCGCCAGCGAGACCGCGAGGCTAAACTCCGCCAGGAGCGAAGCATGTGGAGGAGCTCCGCGAGACGCTTGTGCGCCTCCCGGAGGGTCACCACCGCATACGGCGAAGTATCGGCGCCCGGCTCCGCTGACAGCGTCTCCCCTGCATCCTCCTGAGCTGCAAGCTGCACGAAGTCCTCGTCTTCGTCGTTCGATCTCCAGGTACTCGGGCCACGACGTGTCGACATAGTCTACACATAGCTGAGTAACTAGCGTGTTGGCCACTTCCGACACCAGTTGTGGTGAGTCCAACTGAGTCGCAGACGTTGTTCCTTTTAGAGGCAACACTTTTATTTGTAACACCATAACACTGTAACACAAAGGGGTAACTGCCCTTTTACCAGACTACACCGAGTTACTGCTACGAAGGGTCGATCCCTCACTCGGGTCTCCGACCACGTGGTTGCCTCATAGGACGGAGAGCTTCAGCTTGAGACGTAGAGCTTCCCGCTTGTAGATGTTGAGCTTCCAGCTTGTAGAATGCAGTGACCCTGATCCCTCTCAGGGACCCGCCTTATATCCCCCTACGGTCGGGGCCGCTCCGCCCTCGGCTCCGCCCGCCTTCTCGAGCATTCTCATTCCCTCTCGATCCTTCTCAAGAGCTCTCTCCGGACACGTGATCACCCACTAGTCCCCCCACCTGGGGCCCCCTGTGTGGACATTCCGGATCACGTGTCTACGGGGTCCACCAGAGTGCCACGGCCCGGGGCAACCCTGCCCCAGGGCTGTCACTCACCCCCTCCCCTTCCCCCTCGGGGGAGCCCCCACCACACGCTGTGTGTGGTGCCCGCACTATCCCAGTGCTCGCCAAGCCCCGCTAGGGCTGGTATTACACACAGCCATCCACACGGTGCTGTCCACGCTAGGGCTGGTGTTACACACAGCCACCCACACGGTGCTGTCCACGATGTAGGAACATCGAACGGGATGACCCTTCCGGGCCGGCACCATACAGTGACATCCCCGATGTCACTACAATTGCATTAAAAACAAAAAAGTAGCATGGAATGGATACATGTTATCTCATTTACAGTGATAGTTGCTACCACAGCAAAGGCTGTGTTTCTATTTGAGCTTATAATTCAATCAAATTATTGAGCTTGAAAAAATATCTACAGATTGTTATTATCTTTTACGTGTTACAATTAAGGCTGAAATTGACACAGCGTTCCCTCTGTCCGTCTGTCTGTAACGGAGGAAGGTACATGGACAATCTCATCAAGATTATCCAATATGAGCACCTACCTTGAGTGTAAGTCTGTGCGCCTGGCCTGAGCTATATTGTTGTTGTTACCGTTAATTAAATACATCCCAGGATAAGAAAAGTGTGCTGGAAAGAATTATTGAATCAATGCGTATGCATGATTTTCTTTCTTGTTTTAAATTAATTTCAAATCGGTTTAATCGTGATACATATGCACCCTGAATCACTGCTACAAAATAAATTGGCTTAAGTTAATTGTATTTAAAATTGTGTTAAAGCTTACATTACATGCTACGCTGGGGGTG